TCATCTTCACCCCTTTGCTACTTGTGCTCACTTCAGTTTTGGTCACGTCTGTATCTGTCTAAGACTGTCTAAGTGAAATGTTTTGAAAATAAAAATATCTAAGTTTCGCACATGTGTTTTATTTATCAGCAAAGTTAGATATAGAAAAGACTGTTTAAGGAGACCTTTGGAGATGAGATAGATAAAAAAGCAGGTTTAGAAGCCTACTGTGTGGGCGAAACGTTGCATCAATAGATACCCAACTATTGCACATGTGTCTGAATCATCAATTTGTCGGTATTTATACCATTATTAACAGTAGTTGTAAACAGCTGTCTGGTGGAGAAAGTTATGTGTAGCCTTAATAACTAATGAAGTCGATAGGCTTGAAACCCTGGAGCGGAGGAGAGAGAGATAACGGAGCAATAAAATCACAGTAAACAGGTGATATCACAACAAGCAAAATAACCACAGTGGAAAAAAAACAGTGAACTTCCAAAGACTTCTGTGATTTCTCATCATTTCACACTGACTGCTTAGCATACATGTTAATATATACCTGGAAAGTACTGGAGGGCCTCGTCTCAAACCTACACACTGCCATAACATACTGGAGTGAGAGATATGATAGATATGGAACCATAAGCAACTATTTATTTGAATATGAATGGTAGACAACACCGACAAGATGATAATTAGACACATGTGCAATATCTGGGTATCTTTATTGTAGACGTTTCGCCATCCAGTGGCTTTATCAATACAGATTCTAGGATATAATTTGAAGACAGTAGAACTGTATATAAAAGATGAGGTAATCAGTCCCTCAGTCTTGGAGTTGGTGTGAAGATCACCGTAGTTGTGAAGATTCTGGAGCACAGGCAAGAAGGCTGGTGCTTATATACTAGCGTCAGGTGGAAAGGGAGGGGTAACAGACGAAGACATTGTCACTGGCAGGAGAGATTCTCCAGTGGAAGAAGGTCATACCCAAGGGACGGGTTAGTAGTGGTTCAGAGGACGTCTCCACAACATTCTTCACTTCTACTAACCCGTCCCTTGGGAACGACCTACTTCCACTGGGGAATCCAACCTACCAGTGACAATGCCTTCGTCTGCTACTCCTCCCTTTTCACGTGACGCTAGTAAATAGCACCAGCCTTCTTGCCTGTGCTCCAGAATCTTCACGACTACGGTGCTCTTCACACCAACTCCAAGGCTGAGGGACTGATTACCTCATCTTTTGTATACAGTTCTACTGTCTTCAAATTATGTCCTAGAATCTGTATTGATAAAGCCACTGGAGGGCGAAACGTCTACAATAAAGATACCCAGATGTTGCATATGTATCTAATTTTCAACAATTTGTTTGCAGTCGTGTTATTACGGTTTCGTGAATCAAACAAATATTAACCACTGACCTACAGAATGTGAAAGAATCAATTATATTTGCCTACGATGAGAAAGATATCTGGAATATGTTCAATGGAGACATATTTTTACCCATGCAAGGAGAGAGTGAGTTTCCTTAGATGTTCTGGCAGACGATACCTGGTCCAGGACACAATACCGTCCAGCTCGGCCGTAGCGTCACTCACATCAGAAAATCTGCAAGAATAGTAATAATGGTAGATGTGTCTTAATTTCATCTTGTCGGTATTATATACCATTCTTGTACTACTACTACTACTACTACTACTACCACCACCACCTCTTCATGCCTATATATAGCCGTCCTGCTCCACTTCTGGTTAGTGTGACTTTGTAAATGGTCCGAGTCGGACCGTAACGTCGTCGTAAGCTTCTCTCTTTTATGTGCGGTTATTTGTGTATCGTTCCAGTCACGGTATTGTGCCTTTTTGTTATTCATGGTAGATTCTTCAAGAATAGTAACAGTAATAATGGTGGAATTACTGACAATAGTTCAGGTAACAGAACACAGATACAACTAATGTGATATTTTATTTTGGTAACGTTTCGCTCTCCAGATTTGTCATTATTACCAACCTGTCAAAGCCCTGGAGAGCAAAACGTTGCCACAAATGGATAGTGATAAATGCAATGAGAAAAGGAAATCTGGAAGATAATGATAAAGGCAATAAAACAAAATCATCTTAAAGATAGTAATAAGAAGCAATAATTAAAAAAATACAGTAATATAGCAGTAAATGGTACAGGAATACAGTGTCTATCACTTACAGAAATACAGTAATAAATTATTTATTTGTTATTTCTACTGCCCGTAATTCCCTGAAGGGGTAAGAAAAGTTAACTTTGTTTAAGTAACCCGGTGGTCTGGTGGCTAAAGCTCCCGCTTCACACACGGAGGGCCCGGGTTCGATTCCCGGCGGGTGGAAACATTTGACACGTTTCCTTACACCTGTTGTCCTGTTCACCTAGCAGCAAATAGGTACCTGGGTGTTAGTCGACTGGTGTGGGTCGCATCCTGGGGGACAAGATTAAGGACCCCAATGGAAATAAGTTAGACAGTCCTCGATGACGCACTGACTTTCTTGGGTTATCCTGGGTGGCTAACCCCCCGGGGTTAAAAACCCGAACGAAATCTTATCTTATCTTATCTTATCTTATCGACTTTTAAAAAAAAAATCCCCCTTTTTTTTCATTTTCCTCTGTTTTGGACCGTGGAAGCTACTGGCTAGCATAATATTTCTTATATCGAGACACTGGAAGTGCTGCACAAGTGTCTCAATCATCAACTTGTTTTCTGGACCATTTATGACTCACGACCCCTCAAGGAAGGTTCCTTGATGTTCGTGAGGGGCTCTTGATTTAGGGAATTGGATCTGTGCTCCAGTTCCCCGAATTAAGCCTGAATGCCTTCCACATCCCCCCCCCAGGTGCTGTATAATCCTCCGGGTTTAGCGCTACCCCCTTGATTATAATAATAATAATATGACTCACGAAATCGTAATGACACGATTGCAAATAAACCATACCACGGGCGGGATTTGAACCCGCGATCAGAGAGTCTCAAAACTCCAGACCGTCGCGTTAGCCACTGGACCAGCTAGCCACAATAAGATTCGTCCAACTATGTATATTTCTACACCATAGGAAGGTTAGCATAGGCCACCACTGTGACCACAAATGCAAGTTTTTACAGACGAATCTCCATTCATACAAGTGTTTGGATTGTTACCATTATAGAGTATAACCCGAGTAAGGTAAACACATCACAACAGCTGACAGACACCCAGACATCTGTTTACTGCTACGTAAACAGTGGCAGTAGGTGTTAGGTAGCCTGTATGTCTCACCCTTCCCCAGGATTAACCACGGGTCTTTTGATTGTGAGCTAAACGCACAAATATGAAATATACCTTTCCTTACATCTTCCACCGCATTATCGTTCATTTTCTCTGTATTATTGAAATTAATCATCTTCATGTTACCCACATGTCCTAAATATTAAATTATATTAACTCAAATTAATTTGCAAAAAATAGCCTGTCGATGCATAAACAGAAGGGTGGACGGGGGGGGGGGTTTGAACCTCGGCTCGTGAATTGACGGTCCGGCGCGCTACCGTCTAGGCTAACCCTTTCTATTAGATGCCTGGGTTAGCCTAGACTCTAGTCTAGACTCTAGAGTCTAGACTCTAGAGTCTAGACTCCAGAGTCTAGACTCCAGAGTCTAGACTCCCGTTTCTCAACTTTTTACCCTTGAGATAATTTCCATATATCATGGCACCCGTACATAAAAAATATAATATATCGTTATTAATATCTCTCCTTCCCCTTTATAAACTTAAGTTCACCTGACATGGAAGATTCTGGAGTAGTCTCCTGCAAGATGAGGAGAGTCTTGGAGTCTCCGTAACAAGTAAGGGAAGAGCATACTGTCGTGTGGATTACTCTGGCCGGGGAAGTGTGTGTGCTTGTGGTCCATGGCTGGTAACATTCCCTCAGCTTGGCGAAGTTTTGAGCCTTCATTCCCCACCAGAATGATCTGTAAGTGTAGCAGTTGTGAACGTATGATCTGTAAGTGTAGCAGTTGTGAACGTATGATCTGTAAGTGTAGCAGTTGTGAACGTATGATCTGTAAGTGTAGCAGTTGTGAACGTATGATCTGTAAGTGTAGCAGTTGTGAACGTATGATCTGTAAGTGTAGCAGTTGTGAACGTATGATCTGTAAGTGCAGCAGTTGTGAACGTATGATCTGTAAGTGTAGCAGTTGTGAACGTATGATCTGTAAGTGTAGCAGTTGTGAACGTATGATCTGTAAGTGTAGCAGTTGTGAACGTATAATCTGTAAGTGTAACAGTTGTGAACGTATGATCTGTAAGTGTAGCAGTTGTGAACGTATGATCTGTAAGTGTAGCAGTTGTGAACGTATGATCTGTAAGTGCAGCAGTTGTGAACGTATGATCTGTAAGTGTAGCAGTTGTGAACGTATGATCTGTAAGTGTAGCAGTTGTGACGTATGATCTGTAAGTGTAGCAGTTGTGAACGTATGATCTGTAGTGTAGCAGTTGTGAACGTATGATCTGTAAGTGTAGCAGTTGTGAACGTTATGATCTGTAAGTGTAGCAGTTGTGAACGTATGATCTGTAAGTGTAGCAGTTGTGAACGTATGATCTGTAAGTGTAGCAGTTGTGAACGTATGATCTGTAAGTGTAGCAGTTGTGAACGTATGATCTGTAAGTGTAGCAGTTGTGAACGTATGATCTGTAAGTGTAGCAGTTGTGAAACGTATGATCTGTAAGTGTAGCAGTTGTGAACGTATGATCTGTAAGTGTAGCAGTTGTGAACGTATGATCTGTAAGTGTAGCAGTTGTGAACGTATGATCTGTAAGTGTAGCAGTTGTGAACGTATGATCTGTAAGTGTAGCAGTTGTGAACGTATGATCTGTAAGTGTAGCAGTTGTGAACGTATGATCTGTAAGTGTAGCAGTTGTGAACGTATGATCTGTAAGTGCAGCAGTTGTGAACGTATGATCTGTAAGTGTAGCAGTTGTGAACGTATGATCTGTAAGTGTAGCAGTTGTGAACGTATGATCTGTAAGTGTAGCAGTTGTGAACGTATGATCTGTAAGTGTAGCAGTTGTGAACGTATGATCTGTAAGTGTAGCAGTTGTGAACGTATGATCTGTAAGTGTAGCAGTTGTGAACGTATGATCTGTAAGTGTAGCAGTTGTGAACGTATGATCTGTAAGTGTAGCAGTTTGTGAACGTATGATCTGTAAGTGTAGCAGTTGTGAACGTATGATCTGTAAGTGCAGCAGTTGTGAACGTATGATCTGTAAGTGTAGCAGTTGTGAACGTATGATCTGTAAGTGCAGCAGTTGTGAACGTATGATCTGTAAGTGTAGCAGTTGTGAACGTATGATCTGTAAGTGTAGCAGTTGTGAACGTATGATCTGTAAGTGTAGCAGTTGTGAACGTATGATCTGTAAGTGTAGCAGTTGTGAACGTATGATCTGTAAGTGTAGCAGTTGTGAACGTATGATCTGTAAGTGTAGCAGTTGTGAACGTATGATCTGTAACTGTAGCAGTTGTGAACGTATGATCTGTAAGTGCAGCAGTTGTGAACGTATGATCTGTAAGTGTAGCAGTTGTGAACGTATGATCTGTAAGTGTAGCAGTTGTGAACGTATGATCTGTAAGTGTAGCAGTTGTGAACGTATGATCTGTAAGTGTAGCAGTTGTGAACGTATGATCTGTAAGTGTAGCAGTTGTGAACGTATGATCTGTAAGTGTAACAGTTGTGAACGTATGATCTGTAAGTGTAGCAGTTGTGAACGTATCATCTGTAAGTGTAGCAGTTGTGAACGTATGATCTGTAAGTGCAGCAGTTGTGAACGTATGATCTGTAAGTGTAGCAGTTGTGAACGTATGATCTGTAAGTGTAGCAGTTGTGAACGTATGATCTGTAAGTGTAGCAGTTGTGAACGTATGATCTGTAAGTGTAGCAGTTGTGAACGTATGATCTGTAAGTGTAGCAGTTGTGAACGTATGATCTGTAAGTGTAGCAGTTGTGAACGTATGATCTGTAAGTGTAGCAGTTGTGAACGTATGATCTGTAAGTGTAGCAGTTGTGAACGTATGATCTGTAAGTGTAGCAGTTGTGAACGTATGATCTGTAAGTGTAGCAGTTGTGAACGTATGATCTGTAAGTGTAGCATGTTGTGAACGTATGATCTGTAAGTGTAGCAGTTGTGAACGTATGATCTGTAAGTGTAGCAGTTGTGAACGTATGATCTGTAAGTGTAGCAGTTGTGAACGTATGATCTGTAAGTGTAGCAGTTGTGAACGTATGATCTGTAAGTGTAGCAGTTGTGAACGTATGATCTGTAAGTGCAGCAGTTGTGAACGTATGATCTGTAAGTGTAGCAGTTGTGAACGTATGATCTGTAAGTGTAGCAGTTGTGAACGTATGATCTGTAAGTGTAGCAGTTGTGAACGTATGATCTGTAAGTGTAGCAGTTGTGAACGTATGATCTGTAAGTGTAGCAGTTGTGAACGTTGATCTGTAAGTGTAGCAGTTGTGAACGTATGATCTGTAAGTGCAGCAGTTGTGAACGTATGATCTTTAAGTGCAGCAGTTGTGAACGTATGATCTGTAAGTGTAGCAGTTGTGAACGTATGATCTGTAAGTGTAGCAGTTGTGAACGTATGATCTGTAAGTGTAGCAGTTGTGAACGTATGATCTGTAAGTGTAGCAGTTGTGAACGTATGATCTGTAAGTGTAGCAGTTGTGAACGTATGATCTGTAAGTGTAGCAGTTGTGAACGTATGATCTGTAAGTGCAGCAGTTGTGAACGTATGATCTGTAAGTGCAGCAGTTGTGAACGTATGATCTGTAAGTGCAGCAGTTGTGAACGTATGATCTGTAAGTGCAGCAGTTGTGATCGTATGATCTGTAAGTGTAGCAGTTGTGAACGTTGATCTGTAAGTGTAGCAGTTGTGAACGTATGATCTGTAAGTGTAGCAGTTGTGAACGTATGATCTGTAAGTGTAGCAGTTGTGAACGTATGATCTGTAAGTGTAGCAGTTGTGAACGTATGATCTGTAAGTGTAGCAGTTGTGAACGTATGATCTGTAAGTGTAGCAGTTGTGAACGTATGATCTGTAAGTGTAGCAGTTGTGAACGTATGATCTGTAAGTGTAGCAGTTGTGAACGTATGATCTGTAAGTGTAGCAGTTGTGAACGTATGATCTGTAAGTGTAGCAGTTGTGAACGTATGATCTGTAAGTGTAGCAGTTGTGAACGTATGATCTGTAAGTGTAGTATCTATAAATTGCAATATGTAAAAGCCACTGAATCTTCCATAAAGTCACTGAATCTTCCATAAAGCCACTGAATCTTCCATAAAGCCACTGAATCTTCCATAAAGCCACTGAATCTTCCATAAAGCCACTGAATCTTCCATAAAGCCACTGAATCTTCCATAAAGTCACTGAATCTTCCATAAAGCCACTGAATCTTCCATAAAGCCACTGAATCTTCCATAAAGTCACTGAGTCTTCCATAAAGTCACTGAATCTTCCATAAAGCCACTGAATCTTCCATAAAGCCACTGAATCTTCCATAAAGCCACTGAATCTTCCATAAAGCCACTGAATCTTCCATAAAGCCACTGAATCTTCCATAAAGCCACTGAATCTTCCATAAAGCCACTGAATCTTCCATAAAGCCACTGAATCTTCCATAAAGCCACTGAATCTTCCATAAAGCCACTGAATCTTCCATAAAGTCACTGAATCTTCCATAAAGCCACTGAATCTTCCATAAAGCCACTGAATCTTCCATAAAGCCACTGAATCTTCCATAAAGTCACTGAATCTTCCATAAAGCCACTGAATCTTCCATAAAGTCACTGAATCTTCCATAAAGCCACTGAATCTTCCATAAAGTCACTGAATCTTCCATAAAGCCACTGAATCTTCCATAAAGCCACTGAATCTTCCATAAAGCCACTGAATCTTCCATAAAGTCACTGAATCTTCCATAAAGCCACTGAATCTTCCATAAAGCCACTGAATCTTCCATAAAGCCACTGAATCTTCCATAAAGTCACTGAATCTTCCATAAAGCCACTGAATCTTCCATAAAGCCACTGAATCTTCCATAAAGTCACTGAATCTTCCATAAAGTCACTGAATCTTCCATAAAGTCACTGAATCTTCCATAAAGTCACTGAATCTTCCGATGAAGTGACTTTACGCTAGTTACATCAAGTTAATAAGTAAGATTCCTGCTGACACACTAACACACACATCAAAGTGTAGTTACACACTGCAGAAGGTCTACTGACCCATATTGGTCAAATCATACTCAACTGTTTATGCACTTCCAGGGAGCACTGCAGAAGGTCTACTGACCCATATTGGTCAAATCATACTCAACTGTTTATGCACTTGTTTATGCACATTTCGCCTCTATAAGTTACCCAAGAGTTCATTACACTCACTTACATTTCTGTCATGATGTTCAACGCTCATCTTCATTACTGACATGACGTTTGACATGACATTGCCTTCATCTGAGGTGCTTATCCTTTCTCTTAACATAAACATGCCCTCATGTCCTTGTATGAGCCAGTAGGCCTTCTGCAGTGTTCCTCCATTCTTATGTTCTTATGTTCTTCTCAAATATTGTATTTTCCGAAGAGGACTACAGCTGGGGTCGAAATATACAGGTCGGCTTTATTTTCCGAATGTCTGTTATTGTGATTAGGTTGGTTATCCTTCATTTTACCTGGAGAATAACCAGGACTTGAGTCCTGGAGGTCGAAAGTACAGTGCCTGTACTCTGAAGGATGAGTGAGGATGTTACAGTGCTGGAGGTGGGAAGTACAGTACCTGTACTCTGAAGGATGAGTCAGGATGTTACAGTGCTGGAGGTGGGAAGTACAGTACCTGTACTCTGAAGGATGAGTGAGGATGTTACAGTCCTGGAGGTGGGAAGTACAGTACCTGTACTCTGAAGGATGAGTCAGGATGTTACAGTGCTGGAGGTGGGAAGTACAGTACCTGTACTCTGAAGGATGAGTGAGGATGTTACAGTGCTGGAGGTGGGAAGTACAGTACCTGTACTCTGAAGGATGATCAGGATGTTACAGTGCTGGAGGTGGGAAGTACAGTACCTGTACTCTGAAGGATGAGTCAGGATGTTACAGTCCTGGAGGTGGGAAGTACAGTACCTGTACTCTGAAGGATGAGTGAGGATGTTACAGTCCTGGAGGTGGGAAGTACAGTACCTGCACTCTGAAGGATGAGTGAGGATGTTACAGTCCTGGAGGTGGGAAGTACAGTACCTGTACTCTGAAGGATGAGTGAGGATGTTACAGTCCTGGAGGTGGGAAGTACAGTACCTGTACTCTGAAGGATGAGTGAGGATGTTACAGTCCTGGAGGTGGGAAGTACAGTACCTGCACTCTGAAGGATGAGTGAGGATGTTACAGTCCTGGAGGTGGGAAGTACAGTACCTGTACTCTGAAGGATGAGTGAGGATGTTACAGTGCTGGAGGTGGGAAGTACAGTACCTGTACTCTGAAGGATGAGTGAGGATGTTACAGTCCTGGAGGTGGGAAGTACAGTACCTGCACTCTGAAGGATGAGTGAGGATGTTACAGTCCTGGAGGTGGGAAGTACAGTACCAGCACTCTGAAGGATGAGTGAGGATGTTACGGTCCTGGAGGTGGGAAGTACAGTACCAGCACTCTGAAGGATGAGTGAGGATGTTACAGTCCTGGAGGTGGGAAGTACAGTACCAGCACTCTGAAGGATGAGTGAGGATGTTACAGTCCTGGAGGTGGGAAGTACAGTACCAGCACTCTGAAGGATGAGTGAGGATGTTACAGTGCTGGAGGTGGGAAGTACAGTACCAGCACTCTGAAGGATGAGTGAGGATGTTACAGTGCTGGAGGTGGGAAGTACAGTACCAGCACTCTGAAGGATGAGTGAGGATGTTACAGTGCTGGAGGTGGGAAGTACAGTACCTGCACTCTGAGGATGCTGCAGTTCGGAGTCATCTAAACTGTTATCTTAGCACGCCTCTGGCAAGACAGTGATTGGATGAATAATAGTGAAAGTTCTTCCTCTTTTCCAGGTCACCCTACCTCGGGTGGAAGACGACGACTGTATTAAAAAAACAGAATGGTATGTGTGGCATCCTGGGCAGGATAAGACGCTTGTTTAATCTCTCTACACTTGGCACTTGTGTGTTAGTGGACAGATGTGTGTACACACGGCACTTTACATGATCACCTCGCGGTACATAGGCTCTCAGATGTTAGTTGCCTGGTGTGGGTGGCATCCTGGGCGACAAGACCTAATGTCCCTCAACTGAAATAAGCCACATTTCTTGGCTTTCTCTGGTTATCCTGGCTTATTAACCCTCTGGGCTAATAAGCCAGCATGAAAGTCTCGTTTTTTTTTTCTTTCTGTCACTATGGTGCTAAAAAAGGTACCAGAATGACATTGTTTTACATTGGTATCTTGAGTACCCTGGTATTTTCATACTGGTATCAACTAAAGCGATGACAGTGTACCTTTACATAGGTATCAGATGAAATCCTATCAGGATATCTTCCTATTGGTATCAGTTGAAGGGATCCGATTGGTGTTAGCTAAAAGAGGTACCTGGGATACCGTAATGCTGGTACTTACTAACACGCAGAAAAGTACTTTCATGCAGTCGTTAGTTTGAGTACCAGGATACATTATCACTGGTACTGACAGAGTACAAGGCAGTAGCTAAAGAGTCTGTATACCATATCTAGACGGTGGTACCAATATACCATACCTTGACAGTGGTATCAGCTAAGAGGGCATCAATCCAAGAGGTGGGTGATACTAGCAGGTGTTGCAGGTGTTCTCCAGGCAGAGACAGAAGATCAAGATAATCATACACCTAATAATAATAATAATAATAATAATAATAATAATAATAATAATAGTAGTAATAATAATAATAATAATAATAATGATATAGTACTACCCACATATAACACACTATAAATATCCATGACAGGAGACGAATCAGAATTTATCTTCGTTACAGTACCTGGCATCTGGAGTATGACTTGAGAATTTTCTTGAAGGCTGAGATGATAGGTACAAATTCTGCCCCGTGAGGTCCATAGGGTGACCAGGCCAGCAGTGCCACCTGGGGCTCTCCCAGCTTTACCATCTGGTTCACTACAAGTGAGACATAATACTGAGTTAAATGTTTATCTCTCTCTCTCTCTCTCTCTCTCTCTCTCTCTCTCTCTCTCTCTCTCTCTCTCTCTCTCTCTGTATATATATATATATATATATATATATATATATATATATATATATATATATATATATATATATATATATATATATACACATATATATGTATATATATATACATACATATATATACATATACATAATATATATATATATATATATATATATATATATATATATATATATTTATATATATATATATGTATGTATATGTATATATATGTATGTATATATATATACATATATATGTGTATATATGTATATATATTATATATATATATATAATATATATATATATATATATATATATATATATATATATATATATATATATATATAAATAAATATATATATAATATATATATATATATATATAAATATATATATATATATATATATATTTATAAGAGAGTTGACTGTATATAAAGTTGACTTTATATTTTAAAGGTTTATAAGACTGCTTAGTCTTTAAATGTAAAGGTTAATGGTACCTTTGGAATAAGCGACACTTAGTCCTCCGATAACTGGGCATCGTTTGAGTACACAGCAGGCGAGGACGATGCCAGCGAGTACGACCGCTACAGCTGATCCCACTACCACAGGCACTATGCTGGGTGCCGGTGGAGGTACTGACGTCTCCTTGGGATCTGTGGAGAGAATGTGAGGTATACAGCTAGTGGAGGTACTGACGTCTCCTTGGGATCTGTGGAGAGAATGTGAGGTATACAGCTAGTGGAGGTACTGACGTCTCCTTGGGATCTGTGGAGAGAATGTGAGGTATACAGCTAGTGGAGGTACTGATGTCTCCTTGGGATCTGTGGAGAGAATGTGAGGTATGCAGCTAGTGGAGGTACTGACGTCTCCTTGGGATCTGTGGAGAGAATGTGAGGTATGCAGCTAGTGGAGGTACTGACGTCTCCTTGGGATCTGTGGAGAGAATGTGAGGTATACAGCTAATGGAGGTACTGACGTCTCCTTGGGATCTGTGGGGAGAATCCTTGTGAGGTATACAGCTATACAATCGCAAACAGCCGATTCCTGTCTGACACAGCGACATCTTGGGATCTTAATACAGGGAATTCTTCGCTTGTCTAACCCTTGGGCACGACCTACTTCCACATTGGGCAAATGTGACACCACCTACAACTGCTGCACCTCTCCTGCCTGCGGTATATAAGCTGCTTCTCCGCTCATATTCCGTATTCTATTCAAGATTGATGGACTGACCACATCGACTCGAGGCTGAGGGACTGATTACCTCATTCTCCTCCTGTTCTTCAAGTTTATCCTTTGTATGGACTGATGAAGCCACTGTGTGGCGAAACGTTTCCTCAATGAAGATACCCAAGAGTTGCACATGTGTCTAATTTAACAACGTGTCGGTTCTTTGAACCATTCATCTATAGTGTTCATCTTCTTGGTGTGTATATAGAAAGCTAAATAACAGCAAAATGAGAGTTTAAATGTCATTAATAACTTGTTAAATAACAATATTCATGTTGTGTTAATGTTTTTAATATTGTTAAATTATATTTTAAACATAATTTTAACAGACTCTTTTAACCTTAAAAGTAGTTCTGAAACAGTCTGCCTTAAACTCGATACAAGACATATACCGAGAGAAGTATATTTCACAGTGTATGGATTTAAGTTGGATAAATTTAGATTTACATAAGAACATAAGAAAGGAGGAACACTGCAGCAGGCCTGTTGGCCCATACTAGGCAGGTCCTTTACAATTCATCCCACTAACAAACATTTGACCAACCCAATTTTCAATGCTACCCAAGAAATAAGCTCTGATGTGCAAGTCCAACTCAAATCCAACCCCTCCCACTCATGTACTTATCCAACCTAAATTTGAAACTACCCAAAGTCCTAGCCTCAATAACCCAACTAGGTAGACTGTTCCACTCATCAACTACCCTATTTCCAAACCAATACTTTCCTATGTCCTTTCTAAATCTAAACTTATCTAATTTAAATCCATTACTGCGGGTTCTCTCTTGGAGAGATATCCTCAAGACCTTGTTAATATCCCCTTTATTAATACCTATCTTCCACTTATACACTTCGATCAGGTCTCCCCTCATTCTTCGTCTAACAAGTGAATGTAACTTAAGAGTCTTCAATCTTTCTTCATAAGGAAGATTTCTAATGCTATATATTAATTTAGTCATCCTACGCTGAATGTTTTCTAACGAATTTATGTCCATTCTGTAATATGGAGACCAGAATTGAGCTGCATAATCTAGGTGAGGCCTTACTAATGATGTATAAAGCTGCAGTATGACCTCTGGACTTCTGTTGCTTACACTTCTTGATATAAATCCCAGTAATCTATTTGCCTTATTACGTACGCTTAGGCATTGCTGTCTTGATTTAAGGTTGCTGCTTACCATAACCCCCAAGTCCTTTTCGCAATCTGTATGGTTAAGTTCTACATTATTTAACTTATAAGTGCTAGGGTTATGGACACTCCCGAGCTTCAGAACCTTGCATTTATCTACATTGAACTGCATCTGCCACTTTTCTGACCAAGAGTAGAGTTTGTCTAAATCCTCCTGAAGTTCCCTAACATCTACGTTTGAATCAATTATCCTACCTATCTTCGTGTCATCGGCGAATTTGCTCATATCACTAGTAATTCCTTCATCAAGATCATTGATATATATTATAAACAACAACGGGCCCAAGACTGATCCCTGTGGAACGCCACTTGTTACTGATCCCCAGAAAGGACATAGGTAAGTACTGGTTTTCTAACAGAGTTGTAGATGCGTGGAACAGTCTTCCCAGTGTGAACATTAAAATGGTAAAAAATACCGACAGGTTGTTAGGTAAGACACATATGCAACAGTGGTGACGTGTACTTAGCTCTGTGAAGACCTGTTTGTGTGCTCTCTGTGAATCTGAACCAGGATGCCCTCTCTTGAGCAGCTTTACCAGCAGCTGAGAGAAGAACTCAGAGTTGCTAAACTGGAAATACGGCGATTAACGGAGGAGAACAAGAGGATTCGTAGTAATCCTCCTGTTGTGAGTCCCCAGGTTAAGAGGGGAGCTTGGTCAGTGGCCGGGCAACATGGAACCAAGCTGAAGATTAAGAAAACGGTTGGAGAGGCAGAAACAACGAGAAACCAGAAGACTGCCGTGGAAACTTCCAACTCATTCTCGGTGCTACCTGACGAATGTGAGTGTTCTACTGGGAATGCCACAACGAGCACCAAGGAAGCATTGGCAGACGTGAGTGAGACATCCCTAGAAACCCCAACGAAGACCATCGAGAATGTCATGACGAATTCTACAAGTGGTGTAATGCTACCTGGCGAATGTGAGTCGACTACTCGGAGCATCACTACGGCGACGCCAAGGAAGGTAAAAACATTGTCGTTTTTGGGGATAGTCAGATTAGGTACATGGATAGGGCATTCTGTTTGAAGGATAGGAGTAGGAGGCAGAGAGTGTGTTTTCCTGGGCTGGGATGAAGGATATTGTAGCCGTCTGGATGACATCATGAGAGGTAATGGGAGCAATCCTATTATCTGTCTCAGTGCTGGAGGCAACGATGTTGGCAGACGTAGGAAGTGAGGACCTGATTAGCAGGTATAGGTCAGCAAAGAGATAATTAGGAAAGAAGGGTGGGAAACCTGTCATATGTAGCATTTTGCCAAGGAGAGGAGTTGGAAATAAATTTGGTTGCCCAGAGCTTTGGGTGTCAATTGCTGGCTGGACAAATACTGTAGGAAAATGCGGTAACATTCATTGACAACTGTGGACCTCTTCTATGGCAGAAATGACATGTATGCCAGGGAGGGGGTTCACTTGTCTAGGTGTGGGGTGGGAAGCACTGGCCAACGCAGTGGAGGGAGCTGTTAGGTCTTTAAACTAGGAATAGTTAGTGGTAGGGGTTTCTCTGCGGGAAAAACGGGTGAAGTCTCAGGGTAGTAATATGAGTACTAGGAAACTAGTAATAGGCAAAATGAGGTGGATACGGAAGGCCGTGGCACTAATTGACAAGGACAGTAATAGGTTTAGTGGAATAACATAAAGGAGCAGGAATGATAAAGAGAAAGGGAGGGTCCTTAATATAAATTACACAAAAAAGTCGCAGTGCTAGGAAATAAGAGGGACGAGTTGAGACAGTTGCTAGTGCAGGTAACATAGATGTATTTGCCATTACTGGGGACGTGGTTTAATTCAAAAAGTGGGACATGCCTGCAGAATGTCACATTCAGGGTTTCAAATTGTTCCAAGTAATAGAAGTATCGGGAAGGGGGGTGGGGTGGCATTGTATGTCCGGATCGCTTGAACTGTTTGCATTAAAACGGGTATTAAGTCTGAAGTAACACTACAGAGTTTTTTTGGATAAAATTTTCAGGGGGCATAAAAAAAAATTAACTTTAGGTGTGATATACCGTCCCCCAAATTTAGATAGGGACCAGGGAAACTACTATGGGAGGAAATTGTTAGGGCCACAAGGCACGATAATGTAGTAATTCTAGGAGACTTTAACTTTAGTCATTTTGATTGGAATTTCTTGACTGGGAATTTAGAAATATACGACTTCTTAGAAGTAGTTCAGGATTGTTTTCTGAAGCAGTTTGTGACAGAACCTACAAGGGGTAATAACCTGCTGACTAGTTTGGCAAACAATGAATCCCCTTTTTAATAATTTAGAAGTTTCAGAAGAACTGGGTGCTGCGACCACAAAACAATTACATTTAGAATTGGGAAAGGAAGTATGATAGTAGGGATAACTCAGTAACAGTCCCAGATTTTCGCTTAGCAGATTACGATGGGGTTAGAGAACACTTATCATCTGTTGACTGGGGGAACGAAGAGGCTACAATATGACAGTTTTCTGAACACAGACATGCTGCTCAAAGAACATTTATCCCTTATAAAGAAATTAGATCAAATAGAAATGACCCAAAATGGATGAATAATAGCTGAAATATCTACTAGGGCATAAGAAAGGAATTTATAGGCGTATCAGAAGAGGCGAGGGTCATCTATGAATCATATATTGACACTAAGGGGACATTAAAAAGGGATAAGAAAAGCTAAAAGGGACTATGAAATTAAAGTTGCTAGGGGCTCTAAAACTAACCCAAAAAGTTTTTTCCCGGTATATAGAACAAAAGTCAGAGATAAGATAGGTCCCCTTAAAAAAAACTATGGGCATCTTACTGACAAAGAGAATGAAATGTGCTCGATTTTAAATAATTATTTTTCTCTCGGTTTTACACAGGAAGACACTAGTAGTGTTCCGGTAATAATTTTTTTAGTGGGCCAGAAGAAGAAAAATTTATGTAACATCACGTCACTAGTGAAATGGTTGTGAGCAGATAGACCGACTGAAGCCAAAATAAGCACCCGGGTCCTGATGAGGTTTTTTCAAGGGTTCTAAAGGAATGCAAAAAAGGAAGTCTGTGAACCATTAACTAATATTTTTAATTTATCTCTTCCCAAACAGGTGTAGTGTCTGATATGTGGAAGATGGCTAATTAATTCCTATTTTTTAAAACAGGGGACAAGTCGTTACCCTCAAATTATCGCCCAAAAGCCTGACCTCAATTGTAGGCAAATTACTAAGGGCAATTATAGCTCAAATTATAAGAAGCCCTCTCGAAAAGCATAGCTTGATTAATGATACTCAGCATGGATTCACAAGAGGCGGTCTTTGGGAAACCCAATTTTTAACTTTTTTCAGTAAGCTTTTGAGGGTGTTGACCCGATAAGAATTTGATATTTTTACTTAGATTTTAGTAAGGATTTGATAGAGTTCCGCACCAAAGACGTTGAAGAAAGTACAGCTCATGGGAATGGGAAGAGTGTCTCGTGGATCGAATCATGGCCACAACAGGAAGCAGAGAGTTCCATAAATGGGTTAAATCCGGTGGGGATCGTAACAAGTGGCGTTCCACGGATCAGTCTTGGGCCGTTGTGTTTATAATTATATAATGATCTTGATGAAGAATTACTAGTGTTGAGCAAATTCGCCGATGGGCACGAAGATAGGTAGGATAATTGATTCAAACGTAGATGTTAGGGAACTTCAGGAGGATTTAGACAAACTCTACTCTTGGTCAGAAAAGTGGCAGATGCAGTTCAAGTAGATAAATGCAAGGTTCTGAAGCTCGGAAGTGTCCATAACCCTAGCACTTATAAGTTAAATAATGTAGAACTTAGCCATACAGATTGCGAAAAGGACTTGGGGGTTATGGTAAGCAGCAACCTTAAATCAAGACAGCAATGCCTAAGCGTACGTAATAAGGCAAATAGATTACTGGGATTTATATCAAGAAGTGTAAGCAACAGAAGTCCAGAGGTCATACTGCAGCTTTATTAACATCATTAGTAAGGCCTCACCTAGATTATGCAGCTCAATTCTGGTCTCCATATTACAGAATGGACATAAATTCGTTAGAAAACATTCAGCGTAGATGACTAAATTAATACATAGCATTAGAAATCTTCCTTATGAAGAAAGATTGAAGACTCTTGAAGTTACATTCACTTGTTAGACGAAGAATGAGGGGAGACCTGATCGAAGTGTATAAGTGGAAAGATAGTATTAATAAAGGGGATATTAACAAGGTCTTGAGGATATCTCTCCAAGAGAGAACCCGCAGTAATGGATTTAAATTAGATAAGTTTAGATTTAGAAAGGACATAGGAAAGTATTGGTTTGGAAATAGGGTAGTTGATGAGTGGAACAGTCTACCTAGTTGGGTTATTGAGGCTGGGACTTTGGGTAGTTTCAAATTTAGGTTGGATAAGTACATGAGTGGGAGGGGTTGGATTTGAGTGGGACCTGCACATCAGAGCTTATTTCTTGGGTAGCATTGAAAATTGGGTTGGTCAAATGTTTGTTAGTGGGATGAATTGTAAAGGACCTGCCTAGTATGGGCCAACAGGCCTGCTGCAGTGTTCCTCCTTTCTTATGTTCTTATGTTATGTTCTTATGTTAGGTATCTTTATTATGAAACGTTTCGTACGAAATGGTATATAATACCGACAAGATGAGAGTAAGACACATGTGCAACATCTGGGTATCTTTATTGTAGACGTTTCGCCATCCAGTGGCTTTATCAATACAAATTCTAGGACATAACTTGAAGACAGTAGAACTATGTACAGAAGATGAGGTAATCAGTCCCTCAAACTAGGAGTAGGTGCGAACAGCACCATAGTCGTGGAGATTCTCCACGACTATGGTGCTGTTCGCACCTACTCCTAGTTTGAGGGACTGATTACCTCATCTTCTGTACATAGTTCTACTGTCTTCAAGTTATGTCCTAGAATTTGTATTGATAAAGCCACTGGATGGCGAAACGTCTACAATAAAGATACCCAGATGTTGCACATGTGTCTTACTCTCATCTTGTCGGTATTATATACCATTTCGTACACAACTTGTCAGACACTGCAACATCATGGAATCTTAATTCTGAGGACATGTACATAACCTTCACGACTACGACAACTACTTCTACAACTAACCCATCTCTTTGGGAAGGACCTACTTCCACTGGGGAATCCCGCCTACCAGTGAATATGCCCTCGTCTGCTACACCTGACGTTACTATATAAGCGCCAGGATTCTTTCTTCTGCTTCAGAATCTCCACGACTATGGTGCTGTTCGCACCTACTCCTAGTTTGAGGGACTGATTACCTCATCTTCTGTACATAGTTCTACTGTCTTCAAGTTATGTCCTAGAATTTGTATTGATAAAGCCACTGGATGGCGAAACGTCTTCAATAAAGATACCCAGATGTTGCACATGTGTCTTACTCTCATGAAACGTTTCGCCTACACAGTAGGCTTCTTCAGTCAAGTACAGAAAAGTTGATAGAAGCAGAAGATACTTGAAGACGATGTAATCAGTCCATCACCCTTAAAGTTTTGAGGTGGTCAGTCCCTCAGTCTGGAGAAGAGCATTGTTCCATAGTATGAAACAATGCTCTTCTCCAGACTGAGGGACTGACCACCTCAAAACTTTAAGGGTGATGGACTGATTACATCGTCTTCAAGTATCTTCTGCTTCTATCAACTTTTCTGTACTTGACTGAAGAAGCCTACTGTGTAGGCGAAACGTTTCATAATAAAGATACCTAACTGTTGCATATGTGTCTTACCTAACAAACAGTCTTCCCAGTGGGGTGATAGAGGCTAGGACCTTGGGTAGCTTTAAGAAGAGACTGGACAAATATATGAGTGGGAGGGGCTGAGTTTGATTGGTGTTGGGGGGTGCGGGAGTTGTTTCTTGAGTAGCTTTAGGTAGATGTCGTTTTGATAAGGACCTGCCTCGTATGGGCCAGTAGGCCTTCTGCAGTGTTCCTACATTCTTATGAAAAAAAAAAAATATCCTGAGTCCATTGTAATCACTATTTTTAGGTATTGAAGTATGACTCACTAAATCGTAATGACACGATTGCGCGTCGTTCTGGTGTTTTATGACTGTGATCGCGAGTTCTATCCCCGCCCGTGGTGAATAACTCACGTGCAGCCTTAATACCTCTAGTGTGGTCAGTGGGTTTAAAATTGGTATAAAATACCGACAAGTTGATAAGTTGGCAGGTGTAGTATACCTGCTGGCAGAGACAGCAGGTGTAGTATTCCTGCTTACAGAGGCAGCAGGTGTAGTATACCTGCTTACAGAGGCAGCAGGTGTAGTATACCTGCTTACAGAGGCAGCAGGTGTAGTATACCTGCTGACAGATGCAGCAGGTGTAGTATACCTGCTTACAGAGGCAGCAGGTGTAGTATACCTGCTGACAGATGCAGCAGGTGTAGTATACCTGCTTACAGAGGCAGCAGGTGTAGTATACCTGCTGACAGATGCAGCAGGCGTAGTATACTTGCTGATAGAGACAGCAGGTGCAGTATACCTGCTGGCAGAGACAGCAGGTGTAAATGTACCTGCTTACAGAGGTAGCAGGTATAATATGAGGAAATGGTATGGTGATACCGACAAGATGTGGAAAAAGACACTTATGTACAGTTCAGGACATTTATTAAAGGAAACGTTTCGCCACGAGTGGCTTCTTCAGTCCTAATACAGAGAAAACTAAGAAAACACACATATATATAGTGGCGGGAGTCAGGTGAGGTGATGCGTGGGTAGAGGTGGTAGTAGTAGTAGTAGTAGTAGTAGTAGTAGTAATGGAACTAAGGAGGTGAGGTTAGAGAGGGACCTGTTGGCATCAAGTAACACCAGTTCCCAGGAGCAAGAGGATATTACCCATCCTGGGAACTGGTGTTACTTGATGCCAGGTATAATATACCTGCTTACAGAGGCAGCAGGTATAATATACCTGCTTACAGAGGCAGCAGGTGTAGTATACCTGCTGACAGATGCAGCAGGCGTAGTATACTTGCTGATAGAGACAGCAGGTGCAGTATACCTGCTGAGAGAGACAGCAAGTGTAGTATACCTGCCAACACAGACAGCAGGTTTAGTATACCTGTTGACAGACAGCAAGTGTAGTACACCTACTGTCTATGTTCACCCATCAGTAAAATGGGTACCTGGGTGTTAGTGGAATGGTGTGGGTCGCATCCTGGGTGTTAGTGGACTGGTGTGGGTCACATCCTGGGTGTTAGTGGACTGGTGTGGGTCGCATCCTGGGTGTTAGTGGACTAGTGTGGGTCGTATCCTGGGACAAAGCTGACCTAATTTGCGGGAAATGCTCAGCATAACAAGCGGCTTTCTATATAGTAGTATGTCACTGATGTCAGCTATGATCTGTATACCTTGTACATGTACTTGTATACCTTGTATATGTACTTGTATACCTTGTACATGTACTTGTATACGTTGTACATGTACTTGTATACCTTGTACATGTACTTGTAGCAATAAAGATGATATCCGCACTTACCCGTGAGTAGTTTTGTATGGCTTGACCGTGGCTGACAACCGTCGAAGTCACAGCGGTCGTCTCTCGGAGTGACGCGGGCACAGTACCAGCCACTACTGAGGTTATAGAAAACGTAGCCAGGCTGCTGATGTAAACAGACAAATATTAGAAAAATCTTGACAGTAATATCCCCTTCATTTTCCTGCAGGTAAATAAGGCATTGAAATGGATTCAAATTGGATAAATTTGGATTTAGAAGGGATATAGAAAAGTACTGGTTTGGAAAGAGAGTAGTTGATGAGTGGGATAGTGGCTCTGGTGGCCTGGTGGCTAAAGTTCTCGCTTCACACGGTGAGGGTCTGGGTTCGATTCCCAGCCAGGTTACAAACTTTGGGCGTGTCTGTGTTCACCCATCAGTAAATGGGTACCTGGGTGTTAGTGGACTGGTATGGGTCGCATCCTGGGTGTTAGTGGACTGGTGTGGGTCGGATCCTGAGTGTTAGTGGACTGGTGTGGGTCAGATCCTGGGTGTTAGTGGACTGGTGTGGGTCACATCCTGGGTGTTAGTGGACTGGTGTGGGTAGCATCCTGGGTGTTAGTGGACTGGTGTGGGTCACATCCAGGGTGTTAGTGGACTGATGTGGGTGGCATCCTGGGTGTTAGTGAACTGGTGTGGGTCACATCCTGGGTGTTAGTGGACTGGTGTGGGTGGCATCCTGGGTGTTAGTGGACTGGTGTGGGTCGGATCCTGAGTGTTAGTGGACTGGTGTGGGTCAGATCCTGGGTGTTAGTGGACTGGTGTGGGTCACATCCTGGGTGTTAGTGGACTGGTGTGGGTAGCATCCTGGGTGTTAGTGGACTGGTGTGGGTCACATCCTGGGTGTTAGTGGACTGATGTGGGTGGCATCCTGGGTGTTAGTGAACTGGTGTGGGTCACATCCTGGGTGTTAGTGGACTGGTGTGGGTGGCATCCTGGGTGTTAGTGGACTGGTGTGGGTCACATCCTGGGTGTTAGTGGACTGGTGTGGGTCACATCCTGGGTGTTAGTGGACTGGTGTGGGTCACATCCTGGGTGTTAGTGGACTGGTGTGGGTCACATCCTGGGACAAAACTGACCTAATTTGCAGGAAATGCTCAGCATAACAAGCGGCTTTCTATATAGTAGTATGTCACTGATGTCAGCTATGATCTGTATACCTTGTACATGTACTTGTATACCTTGTACATGTACTTGTATACCTTGTACATGTACTTGTATACCTTGTACATGTAGCCAACTAGTAAGTCTTAGGTTAATACAATACTTCAGGTAACTGCAACTGTTAAGAAAATGTATAACAAAACTAAACATTGACGTCCTGCTTGGGTAGAGTCGTGGGTTAGAAGCCTCAAGCCGGACTCGAGTCCTGGAGGTGGGAAGTACAGTGCCTGCACTTTAAAGGAGGGACTTACGATATTGACAGTTTGGAGGGACTTCAAAATCGTCGTATCTGAGTGCCTCTGCAAAGACAGTGATTATGTGTGAGGTGAAAGTGTTGAATGATGATGAAAGTATTTTCTTTTTGGGGATTTTCCTTCTTTTTGTGTCATCCTGCCTCGGTGGGAGACAGCCGACTTCTTGAAAAAAATTATATATATATTATATATATATATATATATATATATATATATATATATATATATATATATATATATATATATATATATATATATATAATATATATATATATATATAATAAACTATAGTGTAAAACACCACTCTGTCTTGCCTGAGGGGTGTTTTATGCTACAGTTTATTAAACTGTAGTATGTTAAACAGTGTATTAAACTGTACTTCCCATCTCCAGGACTCAAGTCCTGCCTGCCGGTTTCCCTGAATCCCTTCATAAATGTTACTTTGCTCACACTCCAACAGCACGTCAAGTATTAAAAACCATTTGTCTCCATTCACTCCTATCAAACACGCTTACGCATGCCTGCTGGAAGTCCAAGCCCCTCGCACACAAAACCTCCTTTACCCCCTCCCTCCAACCTTTCCTAGGCCGACCCCTACCCCACCTTCCCTCCGTTACAGAGTTATACACTCTCGAACTCATTCTGTTTCGATCCATTCTCTCGATCCATGTCCTCAACAACCCTTCCTCAGCCCTCTGGACAACAGTTTTGGTAATCCCGCACCTCGTCCTAACTTCCAAACTACGAATTTTCTGAATTATATTCACACCACACATTGCCCTCAGACATGACATCTCCACTGCCTCCAGCCTTCTCCTCGCTGCAACATTCATCACCCATGCTTCACACCCATATAAGAGCGTTGGTAAAACTATACTCTCATACATTCCCCTCTTTGCCTCCAAGGACAAAGTTCTTTGTCTCCACAGATTCCTCAGTGCCGCTCACCCTTTTCCCCTCATCAGTTCTATGATTCACCTCATCCTTCATAGACCCATCTGCTGACACGTCCACTCCCAGATATCTGAATACATTCACCTCCTCCATACTCTCTCCCTACGATCTGATATCCAGTCTTCCATTACCTATTTTTTTTGTTATCCTCATAACCTTACTCTTTCCTATATTCACTTTTAATTTTCTTCTTTTACATACCCTACCAAATTCATCCACCAACCTCTGCAACTTCTCTTCAGAATCTCCCAAAAGCACAGTGTCATCAGCAAAGAGCAACTGTGGCAACTCCCACTTTGTGTTTGATTCTGAACAACCACGGTGACATCACGCATCCTTGTCTAAGACCTACTTTTACTGGGAAATAATCTCTCTCTCTCCTACATACTCTAACCTGAGCCTCACTATCCTCTTAAAAAGTCTTCATTGCTTTCAGTAACCTACCTCCTACACCATACACCTGCAACATCTGCCACATTGCCCTCCTATCCACCCTGTCATACACCTTTTCTAAATCCATAAATGCCACAAAAACCTCTTTACCATTATCTAAATACTGTTCACTTATATGTTTCACTGTAAACACCTGGTCCACACACCCCCTACCTTTCCTAAAGCCTCCTTGTTCATCTGTTATCCTACTCTATTTCTTACTCTTAATTCTTTCAATAATAACTCTACCACACACTTAAGAACATAAGAACATAAGAAAGAAGGAACACTGCAACAGGCTTACTGACCCATGAGGAGCAGGTCCATGTCCCCCATCCCCCGGATTAGCCCAATGACCCACCCAGTCTGGTCACCGCCACTCAAGGATGGAGCACGGCACCAGACCCAGCAGCACAAACTAGTCAGGTCCAACTCGCAAACACCCACACCCACTCATGTATTTATCTAACCTATTTTTGAAACTACACAACGTTTTAGCCTCAATAACTGTACTTTGGAGTTTGTTCCACTCATCCACAACTCTATTACCAAACCAGTGCTTTCTTATATCCTTCCTGAATCTGAATTTTTCCAACTTGAAACGACTGCTGTGAGTCCTGTCTTGACTGGAAATTTTCAGCACGCTATTTACATCCCCTTTACTTATTCCCGTTTTCCATTTATACACCTCGATCATATCCCCCCTAATTCTACGCCTTTCGAGAGAGTGCAGATTCAGGGCCTCAGTCTATCCTCATAGGGAAGATTTCTGATACATGGGATCATCTTTGTCATCCTCCTCTGTACGTTTTCCAGAGCATTTATAGCCATTCTGTAATACGGTGACCAGAACTGAGCAGCATAGTCTAAATGAGGCCTAACCAAGGATATATAGAGTTGAAGAACAACCTGAGGACTTCTATTATTTATACTTCAAGATATGAAGCCAAGAATTCTGTTAGCTTTATTGCGAACACTAATGCACTGTTGTCTTGGTTTTAGATTACTGCTAACCAGAACTCCTAAATCTTTTTTGCAATCAGTAGTATTAAGATCTACATTATTTAGTTTATATGTCGCATGGTTATTTTCCTGTCCAACATTTAGAACTTTGCATTTGTCTATATTAAACTGCATCTGCCACTTCTCCGACCATTGCATCAGTCTATTCAAATCATCCTGGAGTGCTCTAGTGTCCTCATTAGAATGAATTGGACGGCCTATTTTGGTGTTATCAGCAAATTTGCTTATGTCGCTATTTATTCCCTCATCTATGTCGTTTATGTAAATTGTGAACAACAATGATCCCAACACTGACCCCTGAGGAACACCGCTTGTGACCTGCCTCCATTCTGATTTCTCCCCATTTATGCAAACTCTTATTCCCCTATAATTTTTACACTCTCTTTTGTCCTTTTTGCCTTTATAAAAAGGAACTATGCAAGCTCTCTGCCAATACCTAGGTACCTTACCCTCTTCCATACATGTATTAAATATTAGCACAACCACTCCAAAACTATATCCCCACCTGCTTTAAACATTTCTATCTTTATCCCATCAATCCCAGCTGCCTTACCCCCTTTCATTCTACCCACTGCCTCACGAACTTCCCCCCCACACACACACACATATATATATATATATATATATATATAGGGAAGTACCACCTCTATAGCTGGACTGGAGACCCTCATCCTCAGAGAAGACAATAAACGTACCTCAGGGAAAACTCAAGGTTCTCCCCGGAGTTGTTTGAATATTTTCTTCTCCTACCACCTCCTATATTTTATATTCTATGTGAACATTTATTAATAAACAGAATACATTTACAGAAAACACAAACATGAATACAATGGTACAATGTATTAAAGATCATGAATTTCCTTATGAATATCTTGCCTTGTTGTGTAGTATAAATCAATATTAACTTCATCAAAATTCTATACATGTTCTGTCTATCCTGAAAATAGGTGAAAATAAACTGATTTAAAATAGGGTTTTGGAAATACAAGAATTCTTCGACTGTATCTGTTAAACACTTCTGTCAAAGATACATGTTGCAGAATGATAACTGGAACAACGTTTTGCTCTGTGTGCTCTATGCAGAGCGAAACGTTGTCACAATAACCTGTTTTACAGTTTCATGTCTTCACTTTTTGTTTGTAGCAGACAAAGTAAACTGACAGATGGTAAATCAAAGACATATAAACACAGAGTTTTGCCCTCTCTTTCTTTGATGTTCACTAAAATCTTAATAAAACCAAAACGTTGCTGTTTACGTGTCTTTTCTTCACCGTAGAATGTCAAATGTCAGGAAAAAAAAAAAACAGGTAATTTTACCCACACTGGAGAGTACGAGTTTCTTGTCCCTGGGAATGACTGTGACTGGCGTACCAATGGTATTACCCACACAGTTAATACGCTGTGACTGACTGTACCAAATCTCCAGCTCATAGTGAGAGAAGTTGTATACAGGTTTTTCTGTCCACTTGACATGCAGATTCCGGCTGTGGAGGAATGAAAAACAGTAAGGTTCCATTGACTGTATATAATAATAATAAAAAATAAAATAATATAATATAATAATAATAATCTTTATTTCTACAAGTATAGTACATGTACAACGTATTTCTACCCGGTTCGTGTGGAAACATGTTTCCTTAAGATATCTGCTGTCACTGTTCACCTAGCAGGAAGTAGGTACCTGGGTGTTGGTGGACTTGTGTGGGTCACATCCTGGGTGATAGTGGACTGGTGTGGGTCACATCCTGGGTGTTAGTGGACTGGTGTGGGTCACATCCTGGGTGTTAGTGGACTGGTGTGGGGCACATCCTGGGTGTTAGTGGACTGGTGTGGGTCACATCCTGGGTGTTAGTGGACTGGTGTGGGTCACATCCTGGGTGTTAGTGGACTGGTGTGGGTCACATCCTGGGTGTTAGTGGACTGGTGTGGGTCACATCCTGGGTGTTAGTGGAATGGTGTGGGTCACATCCTGGGTGTTAGTGGACTGGTGTGGGTCACATCCTGGGTGTTAGTGAACTGGTATGGGTCACATCCTGGGTGTTAGTGGACTGGTGTTGGTCACATCCTGGGTGTTAGTGGACTGGTGTGGGTCACATCCTGGGACAAAACTGACCTAATTTGCGGGAAATGCTCAGCATAACAAGCGGCTTTCTATATAGTAGTATGTCACTGATGTCAGCTATGGTCTGTATACCTTGTACATGGACTTGTATACCTTGTACATGTACTTGTATACCTTGTACATGTACTTGTATACCTTGTACATGTACTTGTATACCTTGTACATGTACTTGTATACCTTGTACATGTACTTGTATACCTTTACATGTACTTGTATACCTTGTACATGTACTTGTATACCTTGTACATGTACTTGTATACCTTGTACATTACTTGTATACCTTTTACATGTACATGTATACCTTGTACATGTACTTGTATACCTTGTACATGTACTTGTATACCTTGTACATGTACTTGTATACCTTGTACATGTACTTGTATCCCTTTTTACATGTACATGTATACCTTGTACATGTACTTGTAGTAAATAAAGAGTATTATTACTGCTATATATTAATTTTGTATCCCTTTAACCTATACTAAAAGTACCGGGTAGCGAGTACTATGTATATGCAAGAGTACGAACCAGAGGAGGCTCTGGCTTCATATTAACGTGATAGTGTTGGTACCACATACAATGAAAATAAGTCACTCTGAGTTTTTTTGGGTTATCCCAGGTTCTCTACACATATGCTGCTATGTATTTATTTATTTAGAAATTTTAGCATACAAACAGAGGTACAAAAAATACAGGTAAGAGCAGTATGCCAAAGCCACTTATACTATGCATAGCATTACGGGCTGGCTTAAAATTAACTTAAGATTAACTAAGCAATGATGAAATCAGTGATAAGACATTATTGTAAACAGATAACTATAAAATACAAATGAGTATTACAAAGACAGGTCCTATGGTTGCATGCATTGCTGTTCATTCAGTAGAATGGAGTATTCTGTTAGGTTGTGTATGATAATCTATGGAAACCCTGTATTTGGTGTATACCTGAATAACTTACTACCTCCATGGATAATGCTGTTTTTGCGCGTTTTTGTGTGTGACCTAACTCATGTCTGCATAAATAACTCATTACGACTGTAAACCAATGTAAAGCATGTAACTTTTTTCGTTACCATTGTAACTTGTTCGTTACCATTGTAACTTGTTCTTTACCACTGTAACTTGTTCGTTTACCACTGTAACTTGTTCTTTTACCCCCTGTAACTTGTTCATTACCACTGTAAACTTGTTCGTTACCACTGTAACTTGTTCTTTTACCACTGTAACTTGTTCATTACCACTGTAACTTGTTCATTCCCACTGTAACTTTTCATTACCACTGTAACTTGTTCGTTACCACTGTAACTTGTTCGTTACCACTGTAACTTATTCATTACCACTGTAACTTATTCATTACCACTGTAACTTGTTCATTTACCACTGTAACTTGTTCATTACCACTGTAACTTGTTCAGTTATCAAAACTTTGCGGTATAGTCCCTGGCCCCAAATTATGTACCTCGTAGTCTTTTGACTACCACCCACAGGAGGGGTAATGGGGTATAAAATAAAACTATTAAGGTACCCCACGTAGCTTCAACAAACTAACCCACCTGCCAACAGGGTTTACTATTACACATTTAAACACATTTGCTTAGTCGATACTTATTCATTTTTCTTAACCTAACTGTTGCTTATTTACAGACAGTCCCGCGATGACGTGCTGTCTTTTTTTGGGGTTTCCTTGGATAGCTAACTCTCCGGGGTTTAAAAAACCCCAAAAAAATGTTATCTTACCAAACCTCTCGAAATCACGAAATCGAAATGACACGATTGCAAACAAACCATACCACGGGTGGGGTTAGAACCCGCGATCAGAGAGTCTCAAAACTCCGACCGACCCGTCGGGCTGGAGTTTTGAGACTCTGACCGCGGGTTCTAACCCCGCCCGTGGCATAGTTTGTTTACCAAACGTCTTTCTATACGAAGTTCAGTTCGTGGTCCCCATCACCATTATCCCCTGACACTACACACCACCGCGCCCTCTACACCAGTTTCTCATAATTTAGCATTTAGTTAGTTAGTTAAAGATTAGCCGGTATTTTCCCGGCCCGGGCCTTGTCCAAGTGGTGGCCCGGCCTTGGCTCCCTCTTTAGGGAGTGTCTGAGACCTAAGTCTCCCATGGGAGGAGGCACAAGTACCTCCTCATCTTTGGGACCAACTGTCCCCAGGCCTAGCCACAAGCTAGGCCTCTCTGGTCTGCCATCCCCGCCCCAAGGGGACAAATGGGAATGACAGTCTTATGAGCTAAAGGCTCGGGCTCAGGCACCTACCCTACCCTAGAAGGGCTGGGCATGGTGTCGATGTTAGCATTTAGATCCCTCAATAGCCATTATTTTCTCGGTTTGAACATTTCTCATTATCTCCTTTACTCTGTTAAAATAAAGAAAGATAGCTATATAAAATAAGGAAATAATTACCTTTGTCTCTTTTTGGATTATGCTATGTAATTTACACTATGTATGATAATTGTATCTATGTATACCTGTGTCTAAATAAACTTCTCTTATCTTACACATTTTCTCCTATACATTTCGCGTTAAATTTTGAAATAAGGAAGTCATCCCTGAACTTAAGTTCAGAGAAAACGTAAGAGAATACAAGGGTAACTTTAACTGACTATTCTGGGTTGGGTTCGAGGTAGAAGGTGGTGTTCCAGGTGTTCATGTCGGTGACGTTGATTGGGTGGATGGAGCCAGAATGGAGCAGAGTTGATTGGTAGAGGGTAAACATTGGGCCTCATCTCGTAGAAGTAGCAGCCGATACCCACGTTGTGGTAATATACTGGACTCTGTGGGAAGAGGAGGTGATGATCAACACAATGTGTGGGTAAGTAAGTAAGTAAGTAAGTTTATTCAGGTATACACAAATACAGTTACATAGAATTATCATACATAGTAGCATATGTGTAGAGAACCTGGGATAACCCAAAAAAAAAGTCAGACAGAGTGACTTATTTCCATTACAAAGAAGGCCACTAGCATGCCTAGGTATTTCGGGCAGAAAAACGACAGAAAACCACATTATTTGGACTATATAGTCTATAAAGTTATTAACAAGGGATATCGCAGGACGCCAATGGAAATAAATAAGTCACTCTGACTTTCTTGGATTATCCATGGTAATATACTTTGTATGATAATTGTACCTATATAGTACCTGTACTTAAATAAACTTACCTACGGTCTTCTTTTCTGAGATGCTAAGTACGTAAGAAAATTAAGTATAATTAGGCACAAATGTCTTACTAAGTATATGTTAAATACCCAGAATAACCCAGAGTCAAATTGAGTGATTTATTTCTTAGAGAGCTGTGGGACCTCAATTTCTAGATGGAAAAAAGCACCTGTTTTCCAACTGTGACTTGTACATTTAGATGAGAAAGATACATATTTAAGAGTTAGGTATCTAGGCTTGGAGTTTATGACTCTCTGATCGCGGGTTCTAACCCCACCCGTGTTATGGTTTGTTTGCAATCGTGTCATTACGATTTCGTGAGTCGGTTAGGTATCTTCATTTTAGAAACGTTTCGCCCAGACAGCAGGTTTTATCAGCCGAACTCGTGGAGCCTGCAGAAGGACCTTTATTCATTCTGTATTCGACTGAAGATGACTTCTCAGTTCTCCCACAGGTCAAACAGCCATTTACATCACGATGGTAACCTTGTATAGACGTTTAGGTGGTTCATTACCTTTGTAATTAGTTCAGCTATCATAACTTTAGGGTACAGTCCCTGGACTCATTATGTACCTCTGTAATCTTTTGACTACCGCCCACAGGATGGGTATGGGGTGACTACCGCCCACAGGATGGGTATGGGGTGACTACCGCCCACAGGATGGGTATGGGGTGACTACCGCCCACAGGATGGGTATGGGGTGACTACCGCCCACAGGATGGGTATGGGGTGACTATCGCTCACAGGATGGGTATGGGGTGACTATCGCTCACAGGATGGGTATGGGGTGACTACCGCCCACAGGATGGGTATGGGGTGACTACCGCCCACAGGATGGGTATGGGGTGACTACCGCCCACAGGATGGGTATGGGGTGACTACCGCCCACAGGATGGGTATGGGTGACTACCGCCCACAGGATGGGTATGGGGTGACTACCGCCCACAGGATGGGTATGGGGTGACTACCGCCCACAGGATGGGCATGGGGTGACTACCGCCCACAGGATGGGTATGGGGTGACTACCGCCCACAGGATGGGTATGGGGTGACTACCGCCCACAGGATGGGTATGGGGTGACTACCGCCCACAGGATGGGTATGGGGTGACTACCGCCCACAGGATGGGCATGGGGTGACTACCGCCCACAGGATGGGTATGGGGTGACTACCGCCCACAGGATGGGTATGGGGTGACTACCGCCCACAGGATGGGTATGGGGTGACTACCGCCCACAGGATGGGTATGGGGTGACTACCGCCCACAGGATGGGCATGGGGTGACTACCGCCCACAGGATGGGTATGGGGTGACTACCGCCCACAGGATGGGTATGGGGTGACTACCGCCCACAGGATGGGTATGGGGTGACTACCGCCCACAGGATGGGTATGGGGTGACTACCGCCCACAGGATGGGCATGGGGTGACTACCGCCCACAGGATGGGTATGGGGTGACTACCGCCCACAGGATGGGTATGGGGTGACTACCGCCCACAGGATGGGTATGGGTGACTACCGCCCACAGGATGGGTATGGGGTGACTACCGCCCACAGGATGGGCATGGGGTGACTACCGCCCACAGGATGGGTATGGGGTGACTACCGCCCACAGGATGGGTATGGGGTGACTATCGCTCACAGGATGGGTATGGGGTGACTACCGCCCACAGGATGGGCATGGGGTGACTACCGCCCACAGGATGGGTATGGGGTGACTACCGCCCACAGGATGGGTATGGGGTGACTACCGACCACAGGATGGGTATGGGGTGACTACCGCCCACAGGATGGGTATGGGGTGACTACCGCCCACAGGATGGGTATGGGGTGACTACCGCCCACAGGATGGGTATGGGGTGACTACCGCCCACAGGATGGGTATGGGGTGACTACCGCCCACAGGATGGGTATGGGGTGACTACCGCCCACAGGATGGGTATGGGGTGACTACCGCCCACAGGATGGGTATGGGGTGACTACCGCCCACAGGATGGGTATGGGGTGACTACCGCCCACAGGATGGGTATGGGGTGACTACCGCCCACAGGATGGGCATGGGTGACTACCGCCCACAGGATGGGTATGGGGTGACTACCGCCCACAGGATGGGTATGGGGTGACTATCGCTCACAGGATGGGTATGGGGTGACTACCGCCCACAGGATGGGCATGGGGTGACTACCGCCCACAGGATGGGTATGGGGTGACTACCGCCCACAGGATGGGTATGGGGTGACTACCGACCACAGGATGGGTATGGGGTGACTACCGCCCACAGGATGGGTATGGGGTGACTATCGCCCACAGGATGGGTATGGGGTGACTACCGCCCACAGGATGGGTATGGGGTGACTACCGCCCACAGGATGGGTATGGGGTGACTACCGCCCACAGGATGGGTATGGGGTGACTACCGCCCACAGGATGGGTATGGGGTGACTACCGCCCACAGGATGGGTATGGGGTGACTACCGCCCACAGGATGGGTATGGGGTGACTACCGACCACAGGATGGGTATGGGGTGACTATCGCTCACAGGATGGACATGGGGTGACTACCAACCACAGGATGGGTATGGGGTGACTACCGACCACAGGATGGGTATGGGGTGACTACCGCCCACAGGATGGGCATGGGGTGACTACCGACCACAGGATGGGTATGGGGTGACTATCGCTCACAGGATGGGTATGGGGTGACTACCGCCCACAGGATGGGTATGGGGTGACTACCGCCCACAGGATGGGTATGGGGTGACTACCGCCCACAGGATGGGTATGGGGTGACTATCGCTCACAGGATGGGTATGGGGTGACTACCGCCCACAGGATGGGTATGGGGTGACTACCGCCCACAGGATGGGTATGGGGTGACTACCGCCCACAGGATGGGTATGGGGTGACTACCGCCCACAGGATGGGTATGGGGTGACTACCGTCCACAGGATGGGCATGGGGTGACTACCGCCCACAGGATGGGTATGGGGTGACTACCCCCCACAGGATGGGTATGGGGTGACTACCGCCCACAGGATGGGTATGGGGTGACTACCGCCCACAGGATGGGTATGGGGTGACTACCGCCCACAGGATGGGTTTTGGGGTGACTATCGCTCACAGGATGGGTATGGGGTGACTACCGCCACAGGATGGGTATGGGGTGACTACCGCCCACAGGATGGGTATGGGGTGACTACCGCCCACAGGATGGGCATGGGGTGACTACCGCCCACAGGATGGGTATGGGGTGACTATCGCCCACAGGATGGGTATGGGGTGACTACCGCCCACAGGATGGGTATGGGGTGACTACCGCCCACAGGATGGGTATGGGGTGACTACCGCCCACAGGATGGGTATGGGGTGACTACCGACCACAGGATGGGTATGGGGCGACTACCGCCCACAGGATGGGTATGGGGTGACTACCGCCCACAGGATGGGTATGGGGCGACTACCGTCCACAGGATGGGTATGGGGCGACTACCGTCCACAGGATGGGTATGGGGCGACTACCGCCCACAGGATGGGTATGGGGTGACTACCGACCACAGGATGGGTATGGGGTGACTACCGTCCACAGGATGGGTATGGGGTGACTACCGACCACAGGATGGGTATGGGGCGACTACCGTCCACAGGATGGGTATGGGGCGACTACCGCCCACAGGATGGGTATGGGGTGACTACCGACCACAGGATGGGTATGGGGCGACTACCGCCCACAGGATGGGTATGGGGTGACTACCGCCCACAGGATGGGTATGGGGTGACTACCGACCACAGGATGGGTATGGGGCGACTACCGTCCACAGGATGGGTATGGGGCGACTACCGCCCACAGGATGGGTATGGGGTGACTACCGCCCACAGGATGGGTATGGGGTGACTACCGCCCACAGGATGGGTATGGGGTGACTACCGACCACAGGATGGGTATGGGGCGACTACCGTCCACAGGATGGGTATGGGGCTACTACCGTCCACAGGATGGGTATGGGGTGGCACACCTTCGTTCTGGAGGTCCAGCATCAATGCTGCACTAGTGACTTCCATGCAACTTGATAAATTAGACACATGTGCAACTCTTGGGTATCTTTATTGAGGAAACGTTTCGCCACACAGTGGCTTCATCAGTCCATACAAAGGAGAATCTTGAAGAACAGGAGGAGAATGAGGTAATCAGTCCCTCAACCTTGAGTCGATGTGGTCAGTCCATCAAGATTAAAGATTGATGGACTGACCACGTCGACTCAAGGTTGAGGGACTGATTACCTCATTCTCCTCCTGTTCTTCAAGATTCTCCTTTGTATGGACTGATGAAGCCACTGTGTGGCGAAACGTTTCCTCAATAAAGATACCCAAGAGTTGCACATGTGTCTAATTTATCAACATGTCGGTTCTCTGAACCATTCATCTACAAATCCATGCAACTTGCTACCACACAGCCGGTGTATACCTGGAGTTTACCTGGGGAGAGTTTCGGGGGTCAACGCTCCCGCGGCTCGGTCTGAGACCAGGCCTCATGGTGGATCAGGGTCTGATCAACCAGGCTGTTACTGTTGGCCGCACGTAAGCCGACGTATGAACCACAGCCAGGTTGGTCAGGTA